GCCTTCAAGTGATACAGCAAATCAGAGGCATGATGCGTTCTGTGACGTCTTCGAACTCGCGCTCTAGGGTGAGGAATTTTAGATTTGGATCGAATCATTCGGTACATCTGGTCGCACACGCTTCACTTTAAGTGAATCACTTATCGGGACCATGATACCTCATGTTGATGTCTTCAAGTTGGGCTGAGTCCAATATATGGCATGATCGTTATCAGTTACACTATCATTGAGCATGTTGAGTCAACATTGTTGACCAATAATCAGGATAATATCCTGATGAGAGTTCCGATCTATATGAGCTGAGTAGAACCAATAGATACTCTCTGCTGGTTCAGAACCTGCTCAGCCCATATGAATCGTGTTCGCAGTGTGGGAAGTGACGTTCGAGATGGTAATTTACCACTGGTAAAGTATGGACGGCCCTTCGCTACATCAACACCGGGTGTTGAACACCCTCGATTGACATAGTGTGAATCACACTATGTCAATCGAGGGCGTTGATATGACGATGTGTTTCGGACGATGTATCACACTGTGAGATTCTCAAGGTGGTTAGTTGTATAATATTTGGAACGGAGTCCACATTTCTACGGTTAAATTGATTTCCCTATTTGCGGTTTTCGTCCGAGCCAGATGGCTCGCGAAAACCGCCTCCATTACCCCTCATGAATATCCTTTGGGACGCTAAGATTCGTCATTAGAAGCCTTGCGACCACGTTGTTACTCTGTGAGTATCACTAGAGAAGTTTGAAATAGTGTGTCTGATGGGGCATATCGTCTGTGAATTGATTACTGATGAGCGGATGAAACTTCCGGACTGAGGACGACTCTCTTACTCTTCTAGCAGCATGTCTATCTTGATCACGCTGTCGACACAAAAAATAGCTTGACAGAGTGAGTTGGCTGACTGGTACAACACAACAAGAATAAATTCGTTTTTCTAGCACTATGACTGCTAGAAAAAACGAGTCGTTTTTCCTATGCATCGTTGTGAACGATGAGTTACAGCGCGAGTAAGCTCGCACGTTCTTCTACAGAACCTCATCGGGAATAATCTAGTGAGAAAGCTGCGGAGAGAAGCATATACCGAGACAATTCAGTTTGCATCCCCGCAGGACATCACAGTAAGCTTCTTTATCTCTCAAACATCCGTGCTAACCTGGCTAGTACGACGAAAATTCGATGGTCCATCGAATTCTTGTGAA